TAAAATTGTCCTTTATTTTAATTATTGTATTGTTTTTAAGTGGGGGGGGGGGTTTGCACTACAAATAAGATATGAGCAGTGTGCATAGGAATTCATTCATGTTTTCTTCAAATTATAATCCGGCCCTCCAACAGTTTGAGCGACTGTGACCTGGTCCTCTGTTTAAAAAGTTTGAGGACCCCTGGCCTAAGGCATGGGAGGGATTGGAAAGCTACCCATGAAGGAGATGAGAAAATGGATTTAATTAAGTCTATATAAAATATAGAATGAACCATACTATTTAAATTATTTTGCGTTATGGGACTACTTTTCATGATTCGTTAAAAAAAATCAACAACACTCCACCCACCCCTCTGAAAAATTTTTCTGGCTACGGTCCTGGCTGCAGACCATGTGATCAGTTCTGGGCTTGTTCGAAGCTCAGACTTCATTTTAGAAACTGTTATGCTTCAGATTTCAATGTAGGAACTGTATGCTTTTAAGAAGACGCTAGGAACTGTTTGTTTTTGGCTTTAGTAGGAAGTTTGATTATAGACTCCATTGGACTTTCAGACTAAACAGAGACTCTATTAGATTCTCAAAACAGAGACATGCTTTAGATTTTGGGCTATTGATTCTCAGAAAGATGCCCTGTGTTACCTACCACTTTGAGTACCCCTAGGGGTGAGAAAAGCGGTATAGAAATACTATAAATAAATAAATAATACACAGAGAAACTACTTCAAATTTACTTGTGACTGGACTGATAAGCAAAGTACCTGTATGCTGAATACATGAAGTTTGTGAGTAAACCAACTATGTTAATTTCAAAGTCTACTTATTTTTGTCTCTTGAGAGCATGATTTAAAGGCAAATACATTTTAAGGGAGAGTAGATTTTTTTGGACAAACTTCAAAGAACACTTCTGAAACTGCTAAATATATATGTGTGTGTGTGCTTGTGCATTGGCATATCTTTGTCCCTAGCAGTTCAGACATACTTAGATACCTCAGTTTAACATCTGAGAAACCTACTTGTTTTGCAGGAATGCTATTTTCCCAATAGGTTATGAGTCTTAACAGATCATGCTTTGTATCAAGAGGCTATGGCATCATTTTTCAAAAGCTTGTGACTTCTAATAAGGTCACTCCTTTCCAAAGATCACAAAATCTCCCAAAGGTTCTGGAGATTTCTATTTTCTAAAACAAAACAAAAAACCCTACTCAACACCTTATTTGCCTCAGTCTTCTCCCAAAAGCTTAGCAGTGGCCAACTTGGGGATAATGGAGCAGGTGATGCACTAGGGAAATACAGCACAAAATAGGCAAAGTGGCAGTACAGGAATTTATGGCTAATCGAAAAGATATCCAAGGTAATCCTTCTATGGCTCCCACCTGTGCACTACCCTTCCATGATGATGGGATTGTGTGCTTCCTGGGAGGCAGCATCAGCAGTGTCTCACATTTCAGACAGACTTCTGCTGAGGAGTCAGATTAAATACACCAAACACTGTAATGGGGCAAAGGAAAGCTGCTGAGCAGTAGCAGCACTGGGCTAACACTGACAGAGGATCTTTCAGAAAAAAAATCCCTGTGTTGCCTTGTTAGTATTGTGCAGGAGGAGGAAATGGTAAACCACATCTGAATGTCTTTTGAAAGTAAAGGTAATGCTTACAATACTCGCAGCTTATAAGGTACTCAGCCAGCTACAGAGGAACAAGGGCAGAATAGCCACACGTTTAGTGATGCAACTGAACTCCAGTTAAAAGCATGCTCAGGCCTCATCTGCCCTGCCATATACAATGCAGATTATCTGCTTTATATGGTAGTGTAGATCCAGCCTGTATCATTGGTTCAGGGAATTCATAGTTACTGTGCAGACTTGTTACTGTTGTTGTTGTTCATTCGTTCAGTCGTTTCCGACTCTTCGTGACCTCATGGACCAGCCCATGCCAGAGTTCCCTGTCGGCCATCACCTTCCCCAGCTCCTTTAAGGTCAATCCAGTCACTTCAAGGATACCATCCATCCATCTTGTTCTTGATTAGCCCCTCTTCCTTTTTCCTTCAATTTTCCCCAGCTTCATTGTCTTCTCTAAGCTTTCTTTTCTTCTCATGATGTGGCCAAAGTACTTCATCTTGGCCTCTAGTATCCTGCCCTCCAATGAGCAGTCGGGCTTTATTTCTTGAAGAATTAACTGGTTGGATCTTCTCGCGGTCCAAGGCACTCTCAGAACCTTCCTCCAACACCACAGTTCAAAAGCATCTATCTTCCTTCGCTCAGCCTTCCCTATGGTCCAGCTCTCACATCCGTAGGTGACTACAGGGAATACCATTGCTTTAACTATGCGGATCTTTGTTGGCAGTGTGATATCTCTAGGTAAAGGTAAAGGTTGTCCCCTGACACTCAATCATGTATGACTCTGGGGTGTGGTGCTCATCTCCGTTCTAAGCCGAAGAGCCGGCGTTGTCCATAGACACCTCTAAGGTCATGTGGCTGGCATGACTGCATGGAGTGCCGTTACCTTCCTGCCAGTGTGGTATCTATTGATCTACTCACATTTGCATGTTTTCCAACTGCTAGGTTGGCAGAAGCTAGGGTTGACAGCGGAAGTTCATACCGCTCCCCGGAATCAAACCTGCGACCTTTCGGTCAACAAGCTCAGCAGCTCAGCGCATTATCCCACTGCACCACCAGGGGCTCCCATAGACATTGCTCTCCTCCCAAGAAGTAAGCGTCTCCCGATTTCCTGGCTGCAGTCTGCGTCTGTAGTAATATTTGCACCTAGAAACACAAAGTCTGTCACTGTCTCCACATTTTCTCCCTCTATTTTCCAGTTGTCAATCATTCTTGTTGCCATAATCTTGTTTTTTTTTTAATGTTTAGCTGTAACCCAGCTTATGCACTTTCATCTTTCACCATGATTAGAAGGCTCCTCAGCTCCTTCTCGCTTTCGGCCATCAAACTGGTATCATCTGCATATCTAAGGTTGCTAAAGTTTCTTCCTGCAATTTTCACCCCAGCTTTACATTTGTCAAGCCCCGCACATGTGTCCAGAGGAGGGCGACTAAAATGATCAAGGGTCTGGAGAACAAGCCCTCTGAGGAGCAGCTTAAGGAGCTGGGCATGTTTAGCCTGAAGAAGAGAAGGCTGAGAGGAGATATGATAGCCATGTATAAATATGTGAGAGAAGCCACAGGGAGGAGGGAGCAAGCTTGTTTTCTGCTTCCTTGGAGACTAGGACGCGGAACAATGGCTTCAAACTACAAGAGAGGAGATTCCATCTGAACATGAGGAAGAACTTCCTGACTGTGAGAGCCGTTCAGCAGTGGAACTCTCTGCCCCAGAGTGTGGTGGAGGCTCCTTCTTTGGAAGCTTTTAAACATAGGCTGGATGGCCATCTGTCAGGGGTGATTTGAATGCAATATTCCTGCTTCTTGGCAGGGGGTTGGACTGGATGGCCCATGAGGTCTCTTCCAACTCTTTGATTCTATGATCGCATGATGTGTTCTGCATACTTATGACTAGCTGCTAGGAATGGTGGGAGCAGAAGTCCAAAACACTTGAAGGGCTGAAGTTGGCCCATACCCACTTTGCCCCCTTCCGCGTCCCATGGAGACAGGAAATTTATTTATTTGTCATGTCAGAGCAACCAATCCATTATATTACATTTCTAACAGAACAAAGCAAACAAATAGACAAAATACAAAACTTGTGAGTTTGGTAGTTGGTTAAATGTCCTTTGACCAGTATCTGGCCACTTGGAGTGCTTCTGGTGTTGCTGCAAGAAGGTCCTCCATTGTGCATGTGGCAGGGCTCAGGTTGCATTGCAGCAGGTGGTCAGTGGTTTGCTCTTCTCCACACTCGCATGTCGAGGATTCCACTTTGTAGCCCCATTTCTGAAGGTTGGCTCTGCATCTCGTGGTGCCAGAGCGCAGTCTGTTCAGCGCCTTCCAAGTCGTCCAGTCCTCTGTGTGCCCAGGGGGGAGTCTCTCATTTGGTATCAGCCATTGGTTGAGGTTCTGGGTTTGAGCCTGCCACTTTTGGACTCTCGCTTGCTGAGGTGTTCCAGCGAGTGTCTCTGTAGATCTTAGAAAACTATTTCTAGATTTAAGTTGTTAACGTGCTGGCTGATACCCAAACAGGGGATGAGCTGGAGATGTCTCTGCCTTGGTCCTTTCACTATTGGCTTCTACTTCCCGGCGGATGTCAGGTGGTGCAATACCGGCTAAGCAGTGTAATTTCTCCAGTGGTGTAGGGCGCAGACACCCCGTGATAATGCGGCATGTCTCATTAAGAGCCACATCTACTGTTTTAGTGCGGTGAGATGTGTTCCACACTGGGCATGCGTACTCAGCAGCAGAGTAGCATAGCGCAAGGGCAGATGTCTTCACTGTGTCTGGTTGTGATCCCCAGGTTGTGCCAGTCAGCTTTCGTATGATATTGTTTCTAGCACCCACTTTTTTGCTTGATATTCAGACAGTGCTTCTTGTAGGTCAGAGCACGGTCCAGAGTGACTCCCAGGTATTTGGGTGCGCTGCAATGCTCCAGTGGGATTCCTTCCCAGGTGATCTTCAGAGCTCGGGATGCTTCTCTGTTCTTGAGATGAAAGGCACATGTCTGTGTTTTAGATGGGTTGGGGATCATCTGGTTTCCCCTGTAATAGGCAGTAAGGGCAACTAGAGCTTTGGAGAGCTTCTGTTCTACCGTCTCAAAGCTCCCTGCCTGAGCAGTAATGGCACGATCATCAGCATAGAGACAGGAAATGCCTCTGTCTCTGGCAAGGCGACGCTCTAGGCGCACAGGCGCCGCCTTCCCGATGCCTTATTACGCCTCTTTCCCTCTCTCCCTTCTGCTCCTGGCAAGAACACGGCGTTGCGTTGTTATGCAAGCGCATTCTTTGCGTTTGTGGGGTTTGTAGTTCCTGCAGCGAGACTCTTCCTCTTCTTTTCCGCTTGACGAGAAGGCATTGGGACTACCACTCCCGAGATGCATCGCGACGAAGGCAGGCCCCGCCTCCTTTCGGGGCCTGGGCCACAGAAGGGGAGCCGTTCAAAACAAGGAAGTGTGGCGCGGCGGCGTGGATGCGCCTCTGTTGTTGCCTTCACTTCCGGGGCTCCTTCGCCTGAGGTGGCGGCGGGGAGGGCCTGTCCCTCTTGCTGCGGCTGCTGCTTCTTGGCCTGAAAGGCCTCATGGATGAGAGCAAAGTGAGTGCGGGCTGGGGAGGGAGGAGAAGGGCTGCGGGGCTGGAAGACAGTCCGAGGCCTGCCATTCCTCCCTATCCTGCTACTTGCAAGAGGGGTAGATCCTGCCCTGCAACAAGGAGGCATTGAGCAAGTGTTTTGAGTCATTCTCTAATGCTAAGAACTTTTAACAAAGACAAAACGAATAGCTTTCCTACTTTCAGGAGACAAAGCAATAGAAGGAATTGTCAAAACATCATCGAACAGTGGTTCTCAACCTGGGGTCCCCAGATGTTTTTGGCCTTCAACTCCCAGAAGTCCTAACAGCTGGTAAACTGGCTGGGATTTCTGGGAGTTGTAGGCAAAAAACATCTGGGGACCCCAGGCTGAGAACATAGCACTTGTTCAGAGTGTTTCAGGTGCTGTCCTTTAGCATCAGGCTTCTTAAACTGTTTCCACTCTGGAACCCTTTCTGCCCAAGAAACGTTTCACGTGACCCTAAGTATGTAGGTATATTAAATAGATTTTTAAAAAACAAAATTTTCCTGGGTTTTGTTGTTGTTGTTTTCATGTCAGGAGCGACTTGAGAAACTGCAAGTCGCTTCTGGTGTGAGAGAATTGGCCGTCTGCAAGGACATCCCCCAGGGGACGCCTGGATGTTTTGATGTTTTACCATCCTTGTGGAAGGTTTCTTGGTAATAGTATGATAGCTGGATCTGGAAGCTCTGAGCGTTACAGAGATGCCACATCGCTCCTTTGGGAGCACTGTTTGTGCAAGAGAGACTTAGCTAATGTAAGCCAGGCCAAAGTCAGATAATATAGAAGGAATATAAGAGTTCGTTAATGGTGAAACCCTTACCCTAACCCTGAACCATACCCTAAGCCTTACGCTAACCCTAACCCTAAACCGTACCCTAACTGTAACCCCTAATCCTTACGGTAACCCTAACCCAAACCCTAAACCTTGCCCTAACCCTTACCCTAATTGTCCCCTCCTTTCTATCCTTTGCTCTCCCTGCTCTCACTCCGCCCCCCCCTTCCCTTATTCACAGCCGCCTTTGTGGCATCTCCATAACGCCCAGAGCTTCCAGACCCAGCTATCATTCTACAGCAGTGGTTCTCAACCTGGGGTCCCCAGATGTTTTTGGCCTACAACTCCCAGAAATCTCAGCCAGTTTACCAGCTCTTAGGATTTCTGGGAGTTGAAGGCCAAAAACATCTGGGGACCCCAGGTTGAGAACCACAGTTCTACAGGGCGCAGCAGCATAACTTCCTTTTTTCAAAACTTAATAAAACCCATTGTATGAATCAGATTTTTTTTATGTAGGCATATACATAAAGTTTTGTTTTACGTAGTTTTGAAGATAGGATTAGGTAGGTGACGTCCTCCATTCTCCATACACTAAGTAAACCGATTTCTGGCACTTGTCATGACTCTTGCCAGCATAGCAGACGTTATGTTGGCAAATTCTTCCTGGATGTTGGTCTTCAAATCTTGTACGGGTTTTTTTGAAATCCTGTGTTTATGTGAACTGTCCAAGGACTGTTCACATAAACACATAATAATGTGCATTTCTATCTTTGCTCTGAGTCAGTAATTTGTCAAGAATTTTAATTCAGCTTGAATTAAACATACTATTTTGAGTTGCAAAGATGGCAGATAGCCAGTGATTTTGTAGTCTGTATATTAAATGCTGAAGTTATAGTATAACATCTCCATTTTCCATGTGGGGAAGAACTCTTTACGTAATTACTTGACAAATCTCCAGGAAAATCTCATTGCTCTCTTTCCTAAGTGGCATGTAACTGTCATTTTTCTAGGTAGCTGGTGGCAAAGTGAAGAAACCAGGGAAACGAGGCCGTAAACCAGCTAAAATAGATTTGAAAGCCAAACTTGAGAGGAGCCGGCAGAGTGCCAGAGAATGTAGGGCAAGGAAGAAGCTAAGGTATCAGTACCTAGAAGAGCTGGTTTCAAGCAGAGAGAGAGCAATCTGTGCTCTCAGAGAAGAGCTGGAAATGGTAATCTTCTGTTTTTAACCTTACTATTGTTTTGATATATTTAACTGTTTGATACCCTACATAACTCCTTGTAAATTGGGGTGAGAAACTTCAAGATTTACTGGACAGCTTTTAGGGATGAGCAATGTCACGTAGCTAGCCAGGTTGTCATATTATCCCATGAAATATTGAAAGTCCCATTTGATAGACATGGACAATGTCGTATTTTTTATTCCCAACCAGTCCATTACATCAATTGTTGGATTGTGAGTCAACATGAGTGTAAATTCCATTGATTCAGTAGCTTTTTAAATTTAAAAAGTGTGGGATTAGCACGCTGTTTTAGAAAAAAAAAGTTTACATTGAAAAGGGATTTCAGTTACATAAAATAATGTTCCAGTTTTACAAAAGGAAAATTAAAAACACAAGTTTCCATCAAACCAACTAAATGTCCTAATATAAGTTTACAGGCAGTCCCCAAATTACAAACAAGATAGGTTCTATAGGTTGATTCTTAAGTTGAATTTGTTTGTAAGTCAGAACAGGTACATTTCTTAAGTGTAACTGCAGCCACACACACATATATAAATAAGTGCATTCTGTGGATAGCATAGAAAGGGTTAACACCCCTGTGGTGTTTGTTTGGTTGTCTGTGTCCCTGTTCAGACAAATTCACCCCACTTTCTGCCCCTGTGATAGTTGGATTTTGAAAAATGTGGGTTGTTGTGGAAACAAGGATTGGTGAGAAAGCTTCAGTGCAAGACATCTTTTCCCCATGATAAGTGAATTTAACTTTGAAGGGTAGATTCCTCTCACTTCCTGTTGTCTCACCTCCATTCTTAACTATGAGTTGTACGTAAGTCAGATGACAGCAACTTGGGGACTGTCTATATTTGTAAATTTTGTCTATACATCATTCTTTCAAAAATGGAAAATGTTGTTGCATTTTATATCCATTGGACCACAGGTGGAAAAAATATATTTCCAATAACAAATATCAATCTTTTAATATCCCAACGAGTGCAAGAAATCTACTTCCATTGGCAGTTAATTTCTGAGAAACAGGCACATAATTCAGAGAATATGCACATCTCTGAGTATCAGCTTTCCAATACCAAATTTACTCGTGTGATTGCTTATTCCTGAAATGTAAGTGCTATGAAATAATTCAAAGATAGTCATTAAGGAAGCATTAGTGGTATTATATCTCTAACAATGCTGATTTAGAGAGCCTTTTTTTGAATAGACATGATGGTTACCATTACCAATATACCCAAAAGATGTGGATATATTTTTCTTCTATAAAAGATGTGGTTGTGGATCTATAGCCATATTATTTACAGATGTTAAAGCCGATTGTGATTAATTTGTCAAAACTGCATTACTAATAATATTACAATATAATGGTATAGTACAATATAGTAATACTTAATACTGATATTGTACTATGCTAATAATGTAATATATGTATGTATGTGTGTGTGTGTGTGTATATATATATATATATATATCTTGTAAGCTGCCCTGAGTCCCCTGCAGGGTGAGAAGGGCGGCATATAAATGTCATTAATAAATAAATTTTCCACTAATCTATTCTATTTGTGCTGTAAATCTCTCATGTCATATCTGTTTATAAACTAAAACAGTGTTTCTTAAACTCTGCTCTTCCAGGTGTTTCGGACTTCAGCTCCCACAATTCCTAACAGCTAGTAAACTGGTTGGGATTTCTGGGAGCTGACATCCAAAACACCTGGATGAGCAGAGTTTGAGAAACACTGTAGTATGTATACCTACTACTGCCCAGGTTAAGCATTTTGTAATGCTATTTCTTGGAAATACTTACTTTTTAACTTTTTGTCTTTGTGAATGGTCCCATTAGAAAACTGATATCTCTATAATGGGACATTTTATAAAACTGTAGAGCTGATGGGATGCAACTCCCATGAAATACAGATGTGGTTGGGTACAAATCCCATTGTCTCCACGCTTGGCTGGCTGTAATTCCCATCAGCCCCATATCTGGCTAGGCTGCAACTTGTGGCTCCCCTCTTAACTCAGGCATGGGCAAACATCAGCCCTTTAGGTGTTTTGGACTTCAACTCCCAAAAATCCTAACCAGCTTACACCTGGAAGGCCAAAGTTTGCCCATGCCTGGACCAACCTTGTTGGGTTTCACCTCCCATCATCCCCAGCTTGCCCAGCAAAGGGGTAAAAATGTTGAAAGGTGTAGCCAGGCAAGTACGCTTCTGTTGTAGCAAAGCAAGTATTCAAGGATTTGTCAGAGGATGTGGGAGGTGTTGGGTTTCAAAATGAGGAGTCTGTGTGTGATTGGAGAGAATTGCAGGCAGATGTTTTGGATTCCAGTGCTGGTTCCCAAACAAGAGGAGAAAGTGAAAGTCCTTGGGCTAATGGGAAGTTTTCCCAGGAAACTAGATTAAGCCTGAGAGCAGAGGGAGTGAAAAACAGACACACTAGACATTCTCACAGAATCCACGAGAAGTCATTGAAGTCCAGGTGTGTTTAGCATGATGTTATGGGTGTCTGGACGGGCTTAAATTAAGTAGTTTGGCTTCAAGCCTCTAAGAGGAGACTGTGTTACTAAAAGATTCTTTTCCTGGCACTTATCTCAAGTTCATGATTTATGTTTCCAGTTCTGACTCAAGTCTTTCCTTAATAAATATTTCTAGATAGCATTATTGGACTCTGATGTGGTGTTGGGTGAAAAGGTGTTTCAGTGCTAGAGTGCAACAGCTTCTATGATTTTACCACCTCCAAACTAATGTCATATCTAGGTATTATATTCAAGAGCATAGCTCTAATATAAATTTGTGCTGTTTTCCCCTGTGATCAGCATCATCGCCTACCACTTTTTAGGTGTCTGGGTGTTGGCAGTTACCATAAGCTTCTTCACACAAATGACTTATGTTAGGTTTAATGTGGAGTTTACTTTCTGTGATCCAGTTTTATTTGTGTCTTTCTGTATTTCAGTACAAACAGTGGTGCATGGCAATGGACCAAGGAAAAATCCCTTCTGAAATTAAAGCTCTGCTTAGTGGGGAAGAACAAAGTAAACCCCAACAGAACTCAGCCAGGAATTCCAAAGTTGTGAAGGCAGATGCCAACAGTCACAGTTCCTGTAAGTTTCTGATTTTGGCACGTTTTAACAAAGTAAGGATAATGAAGAACAGTAAAAGCAGCTGGTTGAATGAGTTTCTATGTTCCTGAAACATTAGGTACTTTCCAAGAACAAGCACTAACTTAAGCCTTGTAATCAAATCATTAAAGGGTGAACGAGGAAAAGAGATTTGAACATATGGTGGCTCTTGTAGTCAGCAGGCATAGCAATAAGACTGCGGCTATAAAATCAACTAAATAATAAGGCACAAGAAAAGTGGTTATATTCCTCTATCCTTAGAATAGCCCTGTTGGATATTAGGCTGAACAAGAACGTCTGGTCAGATATCCTTCAGTGAACACTTGGGCTTTCAGAACACGAGTGTACCTTGATCGGGCTACTACGGATTTATGGGACTGTGGCTACCACTCAGCTGTAGCAAAAGGAAGGGACTACCAGTAAATTGACCACAAGAAAACATATTATCAGTGGGATGACTCTAAAAAAGGATGGGGGAAATGTTATTTGTAGGCTGCATGTAGCCCGTAGTCTGCTTTCTTGTAGTCCCTGAATCTTCCTCCAATCTCAGGTTTTAAAAAAATGCCGTTGAAAGCCAACTGCATGATTTTATAGTAGTGCAATTTGCTACCAAAATAATACCACAAATTGCTAGCAAGGAGTGGTTCCGTTGCTTCTTTCTCTCTCTCAGTTACTGCTGACTGTAACCTCCTGGTTACAGTAGGACAGGAGAGGACAAAGAACATGGCAATAGTAGTAGTGGCAGCCCTAATAGTCATTCCCAAGAGAGTTACTGCTTTGTTTTCCCAAGCTGCCTTGCTTACTTACTTACTTACGCGATCACTCGTTGTCCGAGTAGGATAGTCTTCCAGGATCAGTGTTCTGGTGGGTCTGTAGGTGACTGTAGAGCCCTATTCTTGATCTTCATCTCCTCCCGCAGTGAGGGCATTGGTTTCCAGGTGGAAGGCGGTCTCGGTCGGGGTTGGCTTGGCGTGCCTTCCTCTTGGCACGTTTCTCTCTTTTGCTCTCCATTGGTGCCTATTCAAATTCTGCAGCACTGCTGGTCACAGCTGACCTCCAGCTGGAGTGCTCAAGAGCCAGGGCTTCCCAGTTCTCAGTGTCTATGCCAGAGTTTTTAAGGTTGGCTTTGAGCCCATCTTTAAATCTCTTTTCCTGTCTGCCAACATTCAGTTTTCCATTCTTGAGTTCGGAGTAGAGCAACTGCTTTGGGAGACTGTGGTCAGGCATCCAGACAACGTGGCCGGTCCAGCGGAGCTGATGGCGGAGGACCATCGCTTCAATGCTGGTGATCTTTGCTTCTCCCAGCACGCTGACGTTTGTCCACCTGTCTTCCCAAGAGATTTGCAAGATTTTCCAGAGGCAGCGCTGATGGAATCGTTCCAGGAGTTGCATGTGACGTCTATAGACAGTCCATGTCTCGCAGGCGTATAGCAGGGTTGGGAGGACAATAGCTTTAAGTTGCAGGTGTAATGGGACAGTTATTAATTACCCAACAACAACAAAAAAGAAAGGAAAAGGAATATGTGGGGAAAGAAAATGTGGAAAGTAATTCTAAAAAAAGTATTTTTAATTTTATTTTGTTTGTTTGTTTGTACATTCAAATGTAGGTTTTGTTTTTATTTCAATAAAAAATAATTAACATTACAATAATTATGTGTAACCAATAAAATTAGAATAATATGGAAGTAATAGAATTGACAGTGTCAGCCTTCAGTGTTAACAGTTATAGAGCTACTGTACACAAGTATATAGTATAATACAAAGTTTCTTATAGTAAGTGTACAGTGTTTCAAAAAGATGGTTCTTCTTTGAAATTGCTATATTTCTGCAACCATGAATGAAACTTATCCCTTGAAAGAGTGGAAAGTTGCAAATGATCACCACTAGATGTCTCTCCCAGTGTACAAACAGCCCCTAGCCTCAGTTCTTTGCAAGATGGCAATCCCACAACATAAGGCCAATTGGGCTGTTTGCGGAATAATGTTTTAGATTAGTTTCTGGCTCAAAATGGTTAGCAAAACTTGATAATATTAAAAACCAAGTTTACCTGTTTGTGTAATTGTAGCATGTCGCCATCATGAAATACATGCAGTCTCTAAGTTACAAGCATCCGACTTACAAACAACTCATAGTTAAGAATGGGGTGAAGCAACAGGAAGTGAGATAAATCTACATCTTGGAAGGGAAATTCACTCCTGGAAAAGTTATCATGGGGAAAAGGTGTCTCCACTGAAGCCCTATCACCAATCCTTGTTTCCACTACAAAATCCAATGATCACAGGGACAGAAAATGAGGTTTTTTATTTGTCGTGTCAGGGCAACCAGTCGATTATATTACATTTCAAGTTTGCAAAATTTGTGCTTTTTTAATCTGTTTGTTTGTTTTGTTCTGTTAGAAATGTAATACAATGGTATGGTTGCTGATGACACGATAAATAATTACATTTCTTATAGAACAAAGCAAACAAACAGACAAAATACAAAATTTGTGAGTTTGGTAGTTGATTCAATGTCCTTCGACCAGTATCTGGCCACTTGGAGTGCTTCTGGTGTTGCTGCAAGAAGGTCCTCCATTGTGCATGTGGTTGCATTGCAGCAGGTGGTTAGTGGTTTGCTCTTCTCCACTCTTGTATGTCGAGGATTCCACTTTGTAGCCCCATTTCTGAAGGTTGGCTCTGCATCTTGTGGTGCTAGAGTGCAGTCTGTTCAGCGCCTTCCAAGTCGCCCAGTCCTCTGTATGCCCAGGGGGGAGTCTCTCATTTGGTATCAGCCATTGGTTGAGGTTCTGGGTTTGAGCCTGCCACTTTTGGACTCTCGCTTGCTGAGGTGTTCCAGCGATTGTCTCTGTAGAGCTTAGAAAACTATTTCTCAATTTAAGTCGTTGACGTACTGGCTGATACCCAAACGGGATGAGCTGGGGATGTCTCTGCCTTGGTCCTTTAAGGAAAATGAGGTGAAATCTTCTGAACAGGAGCACAGAGAGCAAAACAAACACCACAGAGATGTCAACTCTTCCTTATTCTATCAAAAACCAAAAGAAAAATATTTTTGGCTGGAATTACATTTAAAAATTGTACCTGTTCAGACTTACATACAAATTCAGCTTAAGAACCAACTTGCAGAACCTATCTTGTTTGTAACTTGAGGACTGCCTGTATACTGCTTTGAATTGGGCCCATCATTTTGAAACACCCTGTATTTTAGAATATGTTTTGGTTGACAGGCTGAAATTTTAAATAACTAAGAGTATTTTCAACTGTTTTTTTTTTCAGGGTGAAGATTAATCATCTAAGACTCATCTTCATACTTCTAAGCTAAAGTTTCTAAAGATTAAGCAGTGATGTGTGGTCTTTCTTTCAATGTAACCCTTTGCACTGAATGATTACAGTGATTATGTTGCAAAAAACATGATTGTTGGATGACCAAAATAATGTGATATCAAACTGGTAGGATTAAATGTGTGACTTTTAAGACCATATTATTTTCATATATTGCAATGTATATATCTATCTCTGTGTGTGTATTTATATTTGCTGTTAATAGGGAAGTAAATATTTAGCCTTGTATAGTAATTGCTTATAGGCTTTATGACTTAGGTTTTATTTGTTCACTCATAGTAGAGTGCAATTTAGAAAAGACATAAAATTAATTCGGATCTCATTTGTTTGATATTGACACCGAAGCTGTTATGCTTATATTTGTAGTATATGTTGTGATGCTAATTGCTGTATTTCAGCATAAACTTCAAATATATGATTGCCATTACCTCCTTTACCTTCACAGCTAACATATGGCCTGTGGGTAAATAAATCCTTCCTTCTAGACTCAGTTCTGCTGTGCACTCATGTAGTACTTCTAGACAGGTCCTCTTCACCTGGCATTTGAGACAATATTAAAGGCCTTTTGCAGATACTTAAGATCATGTTTTTGAGATGCTTTGTGTCCTTCTGTGTGAAATTGCATTGCTGAATGCTGGGGTTAAATTGAACTCTTCCCCTGTCTCTGATGCTAGAGTGCCTGTATTTGGATGTTTTGTGTCTAAATAAAGAGAACCATTTGGGAACAGTACCCTCCATCTAGAATTACAGTCATTCTGCCAATTCAGTTCACTGTATTTGTAGATGTGGCTTCTGTTAATGTTTCTGATAGAACAGTGTGTTCCTTCACATGTACATTTTCTCTCAAAAATAAGAGCTACACTTCACACTATACTTGCAAATAATAATTTCCCCAGTTTCCTACAGAATCATATGTAGGCATTCTCTTTGTGAATGCAGTATGTTCTCGTTTACATGAGCTTCCACATTCTTCTTTTCCTTCCAGTGAGCCATAGCTTATAAAGGATGGCATAACATTTTCTGAAATGCTGTATTTTGTATGGGCATTAGCTGCCATGCAGACCTTCATCAACACTTTTGGTGTGCTCACCATCAGAGAGCACCAGAACCAGTGCTGCACAAGATCCCACTGTTTTGAAAGGTCAAGGGTGGGGAGTTGAAGGCCAAAACATTTGGGGACTCGCAAGTTGAGAACCACTGCACTACATGGTTTTTCTTCAGCACTGATTCTGAGTTCTTTAAACATCTATAGCAATGGTTTAAATATGCCTTGGAAGGTTAGACACAGTAGTATATAGCATGGAACACACTGTGTGTCCCTTCATTATTTTAATGGTATCTATAGGGGTTGTTGCGATGTGCAGGGTTTGATGTGTGATGCAATGTGCAGGGCTTGACAAATGCAAGGCTGGGGTGAAAATTGCTGGAAGAAACATTAACAACCTTAGATATGCAGATGACACCACTTTGATGGCCGAAAGCGAGGAGGAGCTGAGGAGCCTTCTAATCAAGGTGAAAGAAGAAAGCGCAAAAGCTGGGTTGCAGCTAAACATCAAAAAAACAAGATTATGGCAACAAGAATGATTGACAACTGGGAAATAGAGAGAGAAAACGTGGAGGCAGTGACAGACTTTGTATTTCTAGGTGCAAAGATTACTGCAGACGCAGACTGCAGCCAGGAAATAAGGAGACGCTTACTTCTTGGGAGTAGAGCAATGTCCAATCTCGACAAAATAGTGAAGAGTAGAGATATCACACTAGATCCGCATAGTTAAAGCAATGGTATTCCCCATAGTCACCTACGGATGAGAGAGCTGGACCATAGGGAAGGCTGAGCGAAGGAAGATAGATGCTCTTGAAATGTGTTGCTGGAGGAAAGTTCTGAGAGTGCCTTGGACCGTGAGAAAATCCAACCAGTCCATACTTCAAGAAATAAAGCCTGACTGCTCATTGGAGGGAAGGATAGTAGAGGCAAGATGAAGTACTTTGGCCACATTATGAGAAGAAAGGAAAGCTTAGAGAAGACAATAATGCTGGGGAAAATGGAAGGAAAAAGGAAGAGGGGCTGACCAAGGGCAAGATGGATGGATGGTATCCTTGAAGTGACTGGATTGACCTTGAAGGAGCTGGGGGTGGTGATGGCCGACAGGGAGCTCTGGCATGGGCTGGTCCATGAGGTCATGAAGAGTTGGAAACGACTGAACGAATGAACAACATAAGGGTTGTACTGAAAATAATCCCTATGTGTCATTTTTTTCTGAAATTATCAATCCAAATGTTATTGAGTAAATCTTACTGCATAACTATTACAATTTCCATATTTCTGGGTGTTGCGTAACCATGGATATGAACTAGGAACTAAGTGTACAGTGTTTCAAAAAGATGGTTCTTCTTTGAAATTGCTATATTTCTGCAACCATGAATGAAACTTATCCCTTGAAAGAGTGGAAAGTTGCAAATGATCACCACTAGATGTCTCTCCCAGTGTACAAACAGCCCCTAGCCTCAGTTCTTTGCAAGATGGCAATCCCACAACATAAGGCCAATTGGGCTGTTTGCGGAATAATGTTTTAGATTAGTTTCTGGCTCAAAATGGTTAGCAAAACTTGATAATATTAAAAACCAAGTTTACCTGTTTGTGTAATTGTAGCATGTCGCCATCATGAAATACATGCAGTCTCTAAGTTACAAGCATCCGACTTACAAACAACTCATAGTTAAGAATGGGGTGAAGCAACAGGAAGTGAGATAAATCTACATCTTGGAAGGGAAATTCACTCCTGGAAAAGTTATCATGGGGAAAAGGTGTCTCCACTGAAGCCCTATCACCAATCCTTGTTTCCACTACAAAATCCAATGATCACAGGGACAGAAAATGAGGTTTTTTATTTGTCGTGTCAGGGCAACCAGTCGATTATATTACATTTCAAGTTTGCAAAATTTGTGCTTTTTTAATCTGTTTGTTTGTTTTGTTCTGTTAGAAATGTAATACAATGGTATGGTTGCTGATGACACGATAAATAATTACATTTCTTATAGAACAAAGCAAACAAACAGACAAAATACAAAATTTGTGAGTTTGGTAGTTGATTCAATGTCCTTCGACCAGTATCTGGCCACTTGGAGTGCTTCTGGTGTTGCTGCAAGAAGGTCCTCCATTGTGCATAGGTTGCATTGCAGCAGGTGGTAGTGTTTCTGAGAGTGCCTTGGGCAGCGAGAAGATCCAACCAGTCATACTTCAGGAAATAAAGCCCGACTGCTCATTGGAGGGAAGGATAGTAGAGGGAAAGATGAAATATTTTGGCCACATTATGAGAAGACAGGAAAGCTTAGAGAAGACAATTATGCTGGGGAAAATGGAAAAAAAGGAAGAGGGGCCGACCAAGGCAAGATGGATGGATGGCATCCTTGAAGTGACTGGATTGACCTTGAAGGAGCTGGGGGTGGTGATGGCCGACAGGGAGCTCTGGCATGGGCTGGTCCATGAGGTCATGAAGAGTTGGAAACGACTGAACGAATGAACAACATAAGGGTTGTACTGAAAATAATCCCTATGTGTCATTTTTTTCTGAAATTATCAATCCAAATGTTATTGAGTAAATCTTACTGCATAACTATTACAATTTCCATATTTCTGGGTGTTGCGTAACCATGGATATGAACTAGGAACTAAAAAGAAAGTCATTGTGTTCTTGACCAAAGAAGAATGTATTGTTGCTGAAATTCAGAAAAGGCTTGGGAATGTTTCTGGTGAAGTGGCAGTTGATGTGAGTATTGGAGGAAGATGGGCCAGTTTACCAGCTGTTAGGATTTCTGGGAGTTGAAGGGCAAAACATCTGGGGACCCACAGGTTGGGAACCACTAGTTTAGAGGGTTCAATGTATGTATGTATGTATGTATGTATGTATGTATGTATTTATTTATTTATTTATAGCATTTGTATCCCGTCTTTCTTAACTCCCGAAGGGGGACTCAGGGTGAATTACAATTGACAGTCATTAGATACCAACAAAGAAATGGTTAAAGCATAACAATTAACATAAACAGGTCAACAGCAGTAAAAACACATTAAAATGCAATAAAAACACATTAAAAATGTAGCCACCTAATGGATTCTGGGGACAGAAGAATACCTTCTGGCTCTGGAGTTTGTCCACCCCTGCAAAAAAAGGGACATTGATCCCAAATGTGGTAGTGGTGATCTACAGAGAAGCTTAGTCTGACCTTGGACATGTTTGAGAATAAGAACAGAGGTCAATGCAGCCAATAGGCTAATTCCAGGTGTTTATCTGGGTCAGTGGAATTTACTCCCAGGCAAATATTTGCTGGTTTGAACTGTGTAGCTAAAAACAGAAAAACCCAACTCTAATGGGTTTTGCATTTGGGGAGCAGGGCTGTTTGGTTCCCTTGACCAGGATATGCAGCAGTAAGAAATAACATGTGAGTATGGGATGGCCTATAATAATGGGGAGGATGTAACAACTGCTTTTGGGCCCTCTCCTGTCATGTCTTCCCTTTGACAACTCCCAAGCTCCTTCAAAGCTACAAACAAAGCTAGGACCATGGGCTACATTCACAAACCAATATTAACAATAGTGAGAAGTTGATGGGATTTGTAGTCTGACAACATATAGAGAGTCCATGTTCTGGCAGAGTGGGTATTTTAGCTCCAAGACCACGGCTAGTCCATGCAACATTTATGAAATCAAAGCCGTAACAGATCCCTGAATTGCAGGCCCACATTCAGTTGCATTTGTTTTCTAAAACAAAACAAAAACATGTTTTCTTGTCATCTGAAGCTGAACTTCCGCTCCAAACAAAAAGGATGTCTGAAAGAGATTCTGCAAAAGACAAGATATTTTCTTTTGTGGAATCAAAATGAACACTTTCCAGAAATATTGCCTCCTTCCTTCCCAAGATTGCCTGCTGATTCTCTTGCCTTCTCCTTCTGAATTTATGGGCAGAAGAAGTTCACAGTCGATGTTGGGTGGCAGGCTGACAGTAATAATAGTATGGCATGTACAAGGACACATGCTTAGAATGAGGAAAGGGAGCCAAGGAAGGGTACCCTCTCCTTGCTAATTGGAAAGAGTGTGGAGAGGGTTGGCAGCGCTGAAACAGACACGGACCAGGTTATGCCTTCCATAAGCCTATGGGCTTGATTCAAAATAGTTCTGGATTCACACAACACCTGAAGGCAGACAGACCGTTCTTATTTTGGCTAGCAGCTAAGTTCATCTGCAGGGTGTTAATAATCCGGGGATTGTCATGGAATGTCATCAGTTACCTCTCCCTGCACACAATGTTTTGGTAACGTGGTAGGATTACACATTTACAGTTGTGTCTGCCTTTGGATATCTTTGCATTTTGGAATGAAAGGTGATATTTGATCATCTGACAGATGCAACTGACATGAACAGCTGCTCACAACGGCTTAATGCCAACAGCACCATCTCCTGGGAGGAGAGAGAAATGTTCTCAGAGAGTTGAGAACTGAAAATGAAAACTATAGCAGTGTTTTGTTTTTCATGTCAGGAGCAACTTGAGAAACTGCAAGTCACTTCTAGTGTGAGAGAATTGGCCATCTGCAAGGACATTATTGCCTAGGGGATGCCTGGACGCTTTGATGTTTTGCCATCCTCGTGGGAGGTTTCTCTCATGTCCCCACATGGGAAGCTGGAGCTGAAAGAGGGAGCTCATCTGTGCTCTCCCTGGATTCGAACCTCCAAC